CTACACATCTTACTGGGTTGCCCCAGCCACTCTAGGTGGCTTCCAATACATATAAAAACAAAATAAAACATTAAACATTCAAAAAACCACCTTCCCTATACCAGATTGCCTTCAGATGGCTCGGGGGTCTGATAACTCCTTACGCTCCAACATTACTCCAGTGAAAATAGGGATGCCCTAAGGAAAAGCGGGACATTCTGGGATCAAATCAGAAACCGGGATGGCTTCTCTAAATCAGGGCCGTCCCTGGAAAATAGGAACATTTCCTCCAACAGGGCAGGATCTCCCTGTTGCTGAAACTGCCTCATTGGGTGCACACCTTGGAATAGCTTGAGAAATGTAGGAGTGTACTTTTGACAATACTATAGTTAATTCCTCACTCTGGACATTCCTTGCCTGACAGCGCTGTAACAGCGAACTGTTTTTTCAAATTTCAGCAAAGTCAAAATTTGGCTCCTACCTTCCGTTCTTCTTAACTCACTACGTCAGAGTTGTGATGCCCTGTGGTGCCCCCTAGGCTTGAGACCCGGTGCGGCAAATCTGGTTGCACTGCCTTATATCCGCCTCTGCATGTGGCCAGGGAACCCCAGTTCACATATATATGAAAACACGTGGCCTTGACTTCCACATCATTTCCCCTCCTGCCACGTCTAGAGAACAAGGAGCGTGCAATCAGAGACTTTATTGACAGTGTTATGTACTGAAGTTCTCACCCTGGGCCAGCAGGGGGATACTGTAGATAGTTTTCACGCAGGTCCACATATGCAAATAAGGGATTGAAAGTGACGTTCAGTGATTGGCTAGTTACAGAAAATGGTTACTGTTGCGTTCTAGTGGAGCTCTATATAAACAGGCTGGCTGAACCCTTCAGTTCAGTTCTGTTCTGGCCTGTGAATAAACAAGAGCTGTTTGAAGAATCGCTGTGTCGTCTGATATGTTCACCCACAACTTAACAGACAGGGCACTTTGCACAAAGGAAGCTAGGGAGAACACAAAGAAGGGCAGATGGATAAGACTTGTCTTCTCAGAACATTCGCAGGTGCCCTTTCTCAGGTCTCCAGACACATAAGCCATTAACCTCCTTAGCTTGGCAAATAAATCATAATGAACATACTGTAAGTGAGTGCTCTGTAATAGTATGAAGGGGGTCTGATGAAATGCTAAGACTCCCCAAGGCAGAAAGTTACCTGGGTGAGGTTATCATCAGGAGCACATTCTAACCAGGCCAAAACAAAACTGGAGGAGGGGGTTGAGCAGGGTCAGCGAGGGGTGTGGTTTGGGGAGGAAGTGTCATGAGGGCCATATAGGGAGTCTGGGGGGGCCACATTTGACCCCCTGAGGCTCCTTCACCTCTGTGCAAGTCACTCTGATGGGGTTCTGCACTGTTCTTTCAGTTGTGTGTGAGACACTCTCGCCATTTCTTAGAGTTCAGTGTAATTAGAGTGAAACCAGTTGGGAAACAGAGAGACTGGAGCAGGAATTCATGCAGTCTGTGTTTTCCCATGGAGTTATGCTTCCACCTACAGCCCCTTCCTGGACAATAGGGACACTTGGAGGGACTGTTAACCCCATAGTTTCTAAGTGATGTGTAGTGAAGTTAAGAAAGAGCCGGGATCCGAGTCTGATACATGATGAACGGAAATGTTAATGGGCTAGAATCACAGGAAATAACTACAGTAATACTCCATCGTGGATCTTATTTCTGTCTAATCTGATGGGGTGTTCTTCTCCAGAATGCGAGGCCCTGCCTCTAGTTCTGTTGCCTCGTCCCTTCAACACTTGCAATTATTGTTGCTGTCAAAAGCTGCCAAAAAGGGAACTTTGCCTTCTGGGAGTGGCAGCCATGTTTGTATTTCCTCGAGGTAGAACTTTGAACCTCCGTTTCCCATTTCCCATTGCATTACTCTTTCCCACTGAGCTAACATCCAATTCATGGTTCTGTTTCCTGCAAGCATGCTCTTACATATTCCATTCTTCTCCCTTGCAAAATGCTTGTTCCCTTCCTACTGATGATAGCAACACGAAACGGTTGTGTTGTTACTAGCATTTTATTTTTGTAATCACTGATGCTCCAGTGGGACTCAAACCCTTCTCCTGGGAATCCTGCGTGCATGCCACCCAGCTGTCAGTCCACAGCAAGCCAATGAAAAGAGGAGGCATTAGGTAGCATGACAAGCTGTCGCATTCCTCCAGACACTCTGTGTTAATTGGCGCTTCCCATATATGACCAACACGAGAGAGTGTTGTCAACGAGTGACACTGCGATTAGTGGGCGGGATAAGAATTTCCAGGAACTCTGCAGAAGTGTCTGTCAACGTTGCTCTAATAGCTTTTGTTTCTACGGCTATTGCTTTATTGTTGTCTCTGCTGCTGGTTGGATATAGTATTGCAACTATGATGTGCTACTGCAGATTTGCCCTACAAATTCAGCTGGGCTGCAACACCCATCATCCCCAGTTATGGAGGGAACCATATTGGCTATACCTGGGCTATTGGATCAGGCTGTTAAATGAGACTTGGTGGGACTTCCCTCTTGAATAAGCATGCCTAAGATCAGGCTGCAGAGTACTGTACATGAACACTTTCAAAGGACCAGCCATCCCAGAATACCTTGATTTCAGAGATTAACACCGTTTGTGGCAACTGGATCGTTGCAGCTAAAATGCTTCAGTAAAGAGGGGCATTTTGACACATGAGCCTTAAATCAACTCTGGCACAAATCTGTCCATATTTATTGGCTATAATGTACATCTGATTTCTCTTCCCCATTCCCTTTAATTAAGTCATTCGTGATTTGGAGGCATGAATAACATTAGCCCAGAGTGTGGTGAATAATACTGAGCTATTCAGGATGGTGAAAACAAAGACAAATTGTGAAGAGCTCCTATAACTGAGTGATCATGGGAACAAAAGCAGTAGATGATGTTCAGTGTAAGTCTAAGCCAGTGCAAAGTGATCCACTGTTGGTGGGCGGGAGGGGGGGAGGCGACATACACACAAAAACACTTTGCATTACAGTGATGGGGTCTGAACCAGCAAAGAGATCTTCTGATTGAGTGGAAAGTTCTCTGTAAATATTCCAGTGTGCTGCAGCGATGAAAATGCAAACTCAATAGCACCTGGCTGGCTATAGCTGATCAGTTTGAAGGAGACAGAGCAATTCTTATGTTTCTATCCCATATTGACAGTGTTGGGGAAAGAGAGGTTCACAATGTATTGAAGGCTGCAGTCCTATATACAGTTTACCTAGGAGTGAACTCAGTGGGGTTGCTCTGTAAGATGCACATATAACACCCTCAGATGGTTCTGAAACCCACCAAAGTCAGAATTGTGATTCTCCAAGAGCTCTTATCCCACAGCAAGCTGTAGTTTCAGTCAAGCCACACAGATTTCCAGATGCACCTACCATGTACAGTAGTACCTCAGGTTACAGACGCTTCAGGTTACATACTCCGCTAACCCAGAAATAGTGCTTCAGGTTAAATACTTTGCTTCAGGATGGGACCAGAAATCGTGCAGTGGCGGCACAGCGGCAGCGGAAGGCCCCATTAGCTAAAGTGGTACATCAGGTTAAGAACAGTTTCAGGTTAAGAACGGACCTCCGGAACAAATTAAGTTCTTAACCCGAGGTACCACTGTACTGAGGTGATAGCCTGCATGTCAGTACTCCCTGGGGATTGCATTTTGGAATATCAGTGTGAGAATAGCCTTTTGCAGGACTTCATAGAGAGGGGGAGATGTGTGCGAATAAACCCAAGCAGGTTTACGTTTGACAACATGCCCACAACAGTTTCAGCAGCACAGATGGCCCAGGACAAATGGAGGCAATATGCCTAAAGGACCACTCCCTTGGTGGTAACAAAAAATAGGGCAATCAAACAATAGTTGCCAACATGTTGTCTTCTAATGGCAACTCCAAATCTGCTGTCCCTACTGCATCGCGTAGGAATGGCTCTGCTCAGCAGTCAGCACAGTAGAGCTAAAGTCATGGGTAGGCAAACTAAGGCCCGGGGGCCAGATCAGGCCCAATCACCTAAATCCGGTCCAGGAATCAGCGTGTTCTTACATGAGTAGAATGTGTCCTTTTATTTAAAATGCATCTCTGGGTTATTTGTGAGGCATAGGAATTCATTCATTTTTTTTTTCTTCCAAAATATAGTCCGGCCCCCCACAAGGTCTGAGGGACAGTGGACTGAAAATGTTTGCTGACCCCTGGCTAAAGGTAATCAGGGATTGACCTCTGTTTTCCTTTAGCCTAGGGGAGTCCAGAAGCCCCAAGAGAATTTTCATTCAAGGCCCTAGAGAAGTTGATTCATAAAAAGAAGGCAGACAGAAAAAAACCTGCATTTCAGATTTCTTCAAAATCATGGTTTTTTTCAAGGGGAAGTTGTCACCAGCATTTTGCTCTGGCATGAATTAGTAAAAGCAGGGCTAGCATAAAATTACAAGAAGTAACATTTCCAATTTTTGCTCCGGAAGTTCTAAACTGTGTTTCCGACTGTGGTTATGCATCTTATCTATATCTTTTTCTATTGTGTGATAACTTTAGTTTTCAGGATGACCAGCCTTTTCAAAGGAAATGAATCACTGCTGTGCTTTCTTGTTTTTCCAGCTGAGCATGCTGGTTACAGTGAAGCTCGTCAATGAACTTGGCTTTTACAAACTACACTTTTTTTCTTCTTCTTCCTTCTTCTTTTTCTTCTTCTTTTTTACAACAGTGGAAAAAAGAACGGGAGGGGGAGCAGAGCAGCCAATCAACAAAAGGAGTAGAATTTCCAGTTCAGTTCAAACAAGAGCATAGTTTTACCCTCCCCCTTACGATAAAAACCCTAACCAATAGCAGCATCTCTCTCAGCCAAAACATAACATCCAACCAATAAGCAAGGAGCCCAGTGGCTCCTTTCCTCCAATCAAATGCAGGCAATGGGGTTGAAGGGGGCGGGACAAAGAAAGAGAAACATCCAGCGCCTGGAAGATTCGCACCGAACGTTCATACACGCAGAGAACACTGCCGCGGCCAATCAGCGGCCTCGGGAAGCGTGGAATAGAACGTTGAGACACCGCCGGCTTCCCCCGCTGCCCACCCCGATTTTCTCCACATGCTCCTCCCCTGGATGCTGTTGTTTGTAGTGTTTTAGCTGCCGAGGAGCTACGAGAGGGGCGGGAGGGGGACATCAACATACCCTTGTTCGTGCCGATTGAAGCAGGAGGGGGAGGCCGAGGGGGCGATTCATCGGCTCTGAAGCTTCGGATACACAGAAGCGGCTTGGGAGTTTTGGGGAGGAAGAGGAGAAGAAGGGATCCTTTGTGGATTTCCCCCTCCCCGGAACACTCACGCATACCGCCGGCGCCGTGTTTGGCTCTCCTCCTCCTCCCTCCCTCCCTTGTTGTGGTTTCGTTTCTCTCGCCATGTCGGTGAATATGGAGGAGCTTCGGCATCAGGTCATGATCAACCAGTTCGTGCTGGCTGCGGGCTGTGCGGCGGATCAAGCAAAGCAGCTGCTGCAGGCGGCACACTGGCAGTTCGAGGTGCGTTGAGACCCCTTCTTTTTTACTCACGCGGCACCCCTCCCCCCCCCCACCCGCAATGCCGACGAGCGAAAGGTGGCGGAAATTAATGCGAACCCCCCACCTCCAATTCTTAGTAGGGTGGCGGGTGGCGGAAACAGTTGCCTGTGGTGGTGGATTTGCTTTCAGCAATAGCCCCCCCTCCCCCGCACCACACAGATCCTGCACCCTTTTGTGTAACGTGGGGGGGACGGACGGCGGATTTCTGCTGGCAACAGATAAATAAACAACCCATCAAAGGCATTTAAAGAACGACTGCCTCCTCCCGGAGTAGTAAGTGCCTTCCGGGGCTGGGAATGCGCTGGGCCTTTTGGCGTGTTGACTAATCTCTTGTTGCAGCTGGTCGTGGGAGAAAAAAAAGGGGGGGTTGGACGCACATTTATATTATTGTAATTGTTAGGCCGGGAGAGAACGGCCGCTGCATCACATTTGTGGTCGGAACAATCGTTGGAATAATTATTTCCAAAAGCCATGAAGCTTCCAGTTGAAGGGAAACTCAGAATCGCTCTAAGAATTGAAACCTCCAGTAGGCCATGCGGTAGTTAGGGGGGGGGGAGAGAAAGACGACCGGTTTGCTTCTGCTTATCTAGCCCCCATCCCCCTAATAGTAATTTACTTCTTGACTAGGCCACCAGGCCCTTGCGGAAAAGAAGTGTCAAGGAGACGACGGCATTTTTTCCCCTCGACCGGGGAAGGGGGTGTGGGATCAGTTTCGAAGCTTGGCCTGTGTTTAGTAATCTCTCGCACCCTAACACACACACACGTGTGTGTTTGCATGGTGAAACATAGCAACATCGTTGTTTTAAAGAGGAACGTGGTCAAATTCTGCCCAGCCTTGCCGAGCTGCTTTAAAGGTGTGCTCTTTGTTTTGGTTAATAAGGCTGGAGAGCAGGAAAAGATTGGTTTGAGCCAGCATCTTGACCACAGATGCAATAAGGCTCTTTGTTCACTTTCACTAGATAAAGTGTTTATACTATACTATATTATAAATTATACTATAAATTTCGTTCCCTCTGCCCCTCTTGTTGTTTTAAATCTAAACAAACACTTGTATTTCTGAGTTGATCGTCAATATTTTTTTTTTTTTAAAAGAGGAAACCACCCCCAATTGCAATTGGGGTGTGTGTATGTTCCCTTACATTCCTCAGCCTCTTCTTCTAGGCTCCTGCCTTTTGGGGGGGGGTGTGAACACCTCTTGTATTGTGAAGGCTGGGGGGGGGGGGAGCTGTGTTTGTTTTGGGTTTTCTTCTGTCTCTTTTGTTGTTGTTGTTCCTGTTCTCCCCTCCCAAAAGGGAGAGGGAAGACAAATTAACATTTCAAAGGTGTCCCAAGCCAATGCTGAAGAATGCAAGGGCCCAAACTGGGCCTGTGTTTGTCAACTTAGATTATTTGCTGACACTTGAAGTATTTGAGGAGGGGGGAAAAGAAGCATGTCAGGAGGTCTTCTCCTTTTCTTTTTATTGCTGCAAAAATCTTGCTGCTAATCCCTGCCCTCCAACTTCACTTATTTTGTTCAGGCTGTAGCCCCTTGTTCTAATTGTAGGCTTGTGTGTTTTTTTTTTAAACATAGACTGCTTTGAGTGCTTTTTTTCAAGAAACCAACATTCCTAACACCCACCACCACCATCAAATGGTAAGTAGCTCAAACTTCTCAGGTTCACGCTGTTCTTCACAGTATCTTTGTTTCTTGTGGGCTGAAGTGAAATTTTGCAATTGGAGTATGTGTTTGTGTGTGAGTGTGTGCCATTTTTTTTTTAAAAAAAGAGAAACACTTTGCATATTCCTTGCTTCTGTGGACTAATAAACCCAGAACAAAACTGCCTTAGTCCTTTCCCCATAAGCTTAGAAAGCACCTTCTAAACGACAAATCAAAGACCACCCCCCTCCTTAACAGCAGTTGACTTGTCAAACCATGTAAATATGAGGAGGAGGAACTCTTTTGCCTTGTATGTGCAACGTCTGCATAATTTTACACAACCTTTGATACTGGGAGGGGAACATGAGCCTGCAGCCAGCAGTGGTTGTGCATTCAAAGCTGTCAGCTCTTCAGACAGCCATATTGCTCTGCAACAAGAGAAACACACAGACTGCAAATGTAAACAAGAGCCAAAATGTCTGCCAGGAAACATGGACTTCTGTTTCTCTCTTCTCCTCCCTCCGCCCCCAACCTTTGTGCTCACATAAATCTATCTTACTTATGTTTATGCTCTTGAATAACTGGAAAACCTTCAGGGTTGGAGGGAAGGAGCAAATTCAGACAAAGTTTGGGTTTTTATTCCCCCTGCCTCTGCACGTTTTGTCTAAACTTGAGCAAAACTTTACATGACCTTGACTGAGGGCAAGTTTCTTTGGCAAGCAAAGGAAGTGTTTTTTTTAAAAAGAAAACTAAACCAGTGCTGTGTGCTAGGATAATAGAAGATAGAGACTTAAGCTGCAGCTCTCCCCCCCCCCCCATACTTGGCCATTGTTAAAACCGATGTCTAGCCTTAGAAGTGGGGGGGGAAAGACTGGGGAAGAAATATCTCATCGAATTTTAATGCTGTTTGCTTGCTACTTGGGCAGTGTAGATTTTATTACCCTGAGAACCTACTAGTTTTCCATTTGAATTTAGGGAACATTTTCAAAGCGTTTTGTTTTTGCTATTGCATGCCCATATCTGTAAAGCTTTAGCTGCAGTAGGAATGTGTAGCTATGTAAGAGCGATCCTGTTTATTCAAATAGCCACAAATTTAGTTATGTAGTGTTCTACCTTTAGATATGCTCATTAGATTCTTAGTTATGTTCCTCAGGCTGGCCTTAAAATAGATTAAAGTGAATCATATGATAAAGTTATGAGAATGTAAAAACAACAAAAAGAGACAAATTAATAGGAAACATCCAGCAGGGAACATTAGAAGGGTCCGTATCATAAAATTTCCTGAAATGGATATTTTTGTGCATGTCTTACTCCTTTTAAGGCATTTTTGTACTGCTTTTCAGGAGAACCTAACAAAGTGATTTATGGAAAATAATTACAACATTCCTTCAAAAAAAGTAAATTAGGATATTTACAATCTCAGTTAAAGACTCTTGTGCATTTTCAAGTTCTACGGGGTTAGACATAGCTGGAGAGGATGTTTAGCAACTTTGGGGCCACTGCCAAATAAGCCCTGTACTTAAACATTAAGTTTTCATGTAGAACAGATTCTGAGCCTGTCACCCCTGGCTAATCTTGGGAAGAGAAGACTTTTAAACCATGATTCATTCTGGGCATAGAATTAAGGTTGTTTTATGTACCTTCCCTATGTGAGTGTAAGAGTTGGGGAAATGTGCACACTTTCACTTGTGAAACCCATGAAAATGTATGTTTTGTCACAGTTGCACATACCAAAATACGAAAGTTTTGAACATGACTGCGTATGTATGTAACTGCACACATTTACTCCTTTTATTGATATTGGAAAGGAATATCACATGCACAATGGCCCCCACCAGCTAGTTGAGTTAAGAAAACTAATAATTGGACATTGAAAGTTTTATGGGGTAGGTTTTTTTACTCCAAGCTGATTAAATTGTGTCTTGGGATGGTAAAATGTCCTAGAATAAAAGCCATGATGTGTGTTTTATCAGAGGAAGGGCACCTAACTGCTTTTTTTGGGAGTGGGGTTGATTTTTCTTTGAAAAAAAATGGATAGTATTTTTTATTTTACCACAATAGATTAACATTGGCCAGGGTGGGGAAAACACATCCCAGTGTCAAAAATCAGTGGAGTCCTCGGGTTGCGAATGTGATCTGTGCGGGAGGCACGTTCGCAACCCACACTGTTTGCACCCTGAAGCACCGCGTTTGCGCATGCGCGTGATGAGATTTGGCGCTTCTGCGCATGCGCGCAACGCAATGAAACCTGGAAGTAACCCATTCTGGTACTTTTGGGTTCGGCGTGGTCCGTAACCCGAAAATCCGCAACCCGCAGCGTTCGTAACCCGAGGTATGACTGTAGATTTTGGAGGCTATTTTTTTTTGTCCCAGGTGTATTTTGTGTACAAAACAAAATTGTAAATGGTAAGTGACTGAAATTTGAGGACACTGTTTGCTATTCTCCAGATGACAAAAAAAAATTAAGAAAACTCTTTTGGTCTACTTCTGTATGTATATATTTTGCAATGAGCAGTGTGACCCAGTTTTCTTGGAGATAGGTTAACTTTAGCAAATGTTCGTTTCCATTTGTCTTTTTTGTGTAATGGGCATGACCTGGTTTACAATGCACTTCAGAAGCATAGGAAGCTGTCTTGCCGCAGATTGGATTATTTGTTCATCTACCCCCACATATAGTCTCCTCTGACTTTAGTATATCAGGCAGAGAAAAGTCTGTCACCTCATCTGCTCCGTGATTCTTCAGGTAGTGAAGCTGAGGTTTGCATGCAAATAATGTTTTCGGGAATAAACAAAGCTTTGGGGGTGTAAAGCCCTTTCACAGTTTCACAGAAGTATTAACGATAATCAGGAAATGTCTGTATTAGTTTATCAAAGGAAAGCTGAGTTCTCAAAGATGGAGAATTGTTGTGCTTTTAGAAGATAATTTCCGTTTGTCATGCCAAGGTTATAACTTTGGGTTAAATATCTCTCTTGTTTTGATTCCTGGAATAATTCAAGATTTTATTAAAATATTGAATCAGCATTTTTTCTTTGAAATGCAATTTAACAGCTCCCTACTCTAAAGTATCTTTAGTCTGTTTAAAGGATCTTTTCTCCCACCCACCCCCTCTCCATATGGCTTCACAATGTCCTCGTCTCTCTGGTTTTGTTTATCATTGCTCTGGTTTTGCCTTATCACTAGTATTTTATGAATGCCTTATCAAAGTTCATGTGTTAGGTTCTTTCTTCCCCTTCAGCAGAGTCCTCCCTCTTTTTGTCAGGGGTGTGCTGTGCAATACAGTATAGACAAGTAAATTCAAGATGTTGGGAAATAAACTGTGGTATAAGAGGAATGGCCTGTATGAGGTGGCAAGAGCTGGAATCCTGATTCATATTCCACTGCCAGGTTTGTTGGAACACGTTCCCTGTGGCCAGTGAGCTAATTTAAGCTTGCTCTTTTAATCCTGAATGTGAAAGTAGATCTCTTGTGTTTAGAGGTTTGCTTGAAAACTTGCATACAGTGTCCTTGAGTCGCTTCACATGTGACTTACAAGGAATTCAAGCCCATCCCAAGTGGTGAGGCCTACTAAGTTCTCTGAGACCTCGTTGACTTTCCTGTCTCCTGGTAACATTAAACCTCTAAATCATAAATCAGCTAACCCTAGATATTCTGCACTTGGGGCTGCTGAATGGGGTTTTATGCTGCAGTGTTAAAATGTGTACAAAAAGTTTGCCGAGTTCTCCAGGAAAAGGGGAAATAAAACAGGCCTCTTGACCCTTCGGTTAAGCAAGTATGGGGGACTTTTGGCCCTCCAGATGCAGTGTTAGAAATTAGCCAGGCATGTTTTCCTACTGGTGTGGGTCCAGTTGTGACTATGTGGAGATTTCTGGGCACCAAGTTGGCACCCACAGTTTAAAAACCTCTGCCTTAGTCCACAGTTATTTCCACTTCCACTGAGTGTGGTTCTCCTTCTTGCATGCTGGGACAAGTGAATTCTTGTAAGAGCAAGCTACAGTCAAGCAATGTAGTTGAGATCACAGTCCAACCTCCTGGCAAATAGACATTCCGTCGTGGCTACTGTAACCCAGATTTAAGGTGCCATTTGGCACCAGCTTATATATTTGAGCTAACACTGTCCAGATGTAGATTCAGGTAGGTAGCCGTGTTGGTCTGACGCAGTCGAAAAAAATAAATGAATTGTCCAGTAGTACCTTAGAACCCAACTAAGTTTGTTCTGGGTATAAGCTTTTGTGTGTATCTGAAGAAGTGTGCATGCACATGAAAGCTTATACCCAGAACAAACTTAGTTGGTCTCTAAGGTGCTATTGGACATTTTTATTTATTTATTTATTTATTTATTTGTCCAGATGTTGTTGAACTACAGCTCCCATCAGCCTAGGTAAGCATCGCCAGGCATGATGGGGGATGTAGTTCTGCAACATTTGGAGGGTCAGAGATTCCTCACATCTGGATTAGAGTCACTGGAGATGCCATCTTGATCCTTTATTGGGTCCAGTAGTAGCAGCCTTTTTATTATATAGCTAGGATGTTTCACATGGGCACAGACCACACTTCTCCCATGCATCTGCCCCAATATATGGCTTTAAAAAGTCCAGCTTTACTGGAAGGCATTATGTGTCTGCCGCCAGAAATCTGGCTCCTGATTACCTTAATCTGCATGATGTCATCTTATTGTGAGGTTTCGAACTATGGCGGGTGAGTAGGTATGATACATATAGGAAGCGACAAACCCTGGTATGTGCGTTGCATGCAAGAATTCCCATGTTTCAAGTGCTGCCATCTCCAAATACAGCTGAGAGAAGCTCCAGTCTGAATTCTTGGAGAACCATTGCCAGCTAGCACATAGACAGTACTGAATTAGACAGGACTCCAAGGTCTGACTTGGGGAGAAGGCAGCTTGCCTGTGATTGGCAGCTGGGGTTTGCAGCACATCGAATGGAGCCAGGCACCATTGAGGGTTTGTCATTTGGGTGTGTGAGACATTGCTAAGGGTAAGTAAGGGAAAGGTGATGATGCCCTTTTTGCATCATGGAGCTAGACAACATTCCAGGGATCACCAGGAGTCTCGGCTAATCATGTCCATACCTGGAGCCAAGCTGGAATCTTGACGGAGCCCTTTCATCTTGTGCAGTCCCTTCTGCAGCTCAGCTAGCGGTCTGAAAGAAGCAAGTAGGATTTCAGATTTGATTCAAGGTGTTTGAAATGCTTAGCACACAGCGGGGGAGCCTAGTTCAGTGCCTGACTGCTACAGGGAGCTTAGCCTGTTTAATCTGTTTTATATCCAGTTCTTGGTGCTGTGTGCCCTTCTGCACATATTGCCAGCAAATCCACTTCTGCCCTCCTTTCTTTGATCCTTATATTTGTATGTTGTGTGTGTGTGTGTGTGTGTGTGTGTGTGTTTAAAGCAAGTCACCAGCGCTCGCTGACAGGTAGACGCCACTTTGAAAAGCAGCACCAAACCAAAACAATAGAAGTAAACAGATTCAGCAGTCTGAGGAAAACCTCCTTCCTGCTCTCCATGTCTGGCATTCTGAAATTCCTTATTTCTCTCATTAGCATGCAGACTGCAGATTTGCCGGGGCTCCATTTATTCATAAAAACTGTTTCTGAGATGTAGATTTAAGCCAAGGCGTCGCTGTATCATAGCTGCGTTAAAGAGACACGAGCTGGGCCCATTTTTACACGGCTTGGAATGTTTCTCCCAACTGCCAAGCATTAAGGAGTTTACAGTTCCTGCATTCGCTAGGGGCAGTTTAATAGAGATTGCAAACAAAGGATATCCTGTCTCCTTTGGAAGGCTATCTTCAATTCCGCCCCCCTCCCCCAATCTCTCTATAACCGGTGACACATTAATCAGGAAACTAGTGCTCAAGTCGTCATGTTCTGTGTGACTATTCCCTCCCAGAAACCCCTTTTGTAATCTACGTTTCCCAGAGGCATTTCAGGAACTTAAATGTTGGATTTTAGAGGGTGGTGTTTTGCTTTGCTTCCAGCCCCTCTCTCTGGTTGAAACACTAGCATGTGGGGCATATGAAGCAATGTTTCTGCTTAAGCCCAGTGGAAAATCCCTGGCTCCCCAGAGAAAACAAAAATTCGGGGGTGGAGTGGAGAGAAACTTGGTGTATTTTTATTTTGTTCTTGTGGCAGTTCAGTTAAGGGGCATCTAGTTCTGCTTAAAGAGTCTTGGGTTGCCGACATCACCTCCCTCCTCATTGTGGTCTACAAGCCAAGCTCTTGGTTTGCTTGACACCAGCACTACCCTGCCACCGAAACAAAGATGGTCCCTATCCATGTCTTCCCAACTGCTGTACTTCCACCATGCTAGTCTGCTGTTTCACTTCCTCTCTCCTTAGAGCAGGGCTCCCCAAACTAAGGTCTGCGGGCTGGATAAGGCCTGAGGGACTCATTTATCCGGCCCTCAGCGCTGCACGGCTGCCCACTTCCAGGTCGGAGGAGCACTGGCAATAGCTTGTGCGTAAGCTTTATTTGCGCATGCGTTATTTCTGGTGCACATCCGGGTCGGAGGAGGCCCGTGCACATGCACACAAGGTATTTCCAGTGCACCTCCGACCCAGAAGTGCACCAGAAATAGCGTGTATGCACAGGTATGGGCACGTGCTCTCCGGCCCACCACGCGAACCACGCTGGAGACACCGGCCCAAGGTGTGTTAAGTTTGCTGACCTCTGCCTTAGAGAGCAGAGAACCTCAGGCCTCATGCAGCCTTCAAGGGCCTCTCTATTTGACCAGGAACTCTCCCCTAGCCGCTCCCAGTCCCTGAAGCCATAGACCATTCCTGGGAATACTTTCGCCTGTCTGGAATGTGTCTTTGATCTGTGATCATAATGCCTCTTGCTTGCTTGGAAGGAGGACAGAGGTGTGAATACATAAAAAAAACCTCTCTGCCTTTTGTATTACTAAAAGTGACATCCACTGCTCTGCCCACCACTGGTATCCAAGCCCACAAGGAAAGGCAAAAAAAAAAAAGGTTACCCACCCCTGTTTTAGAAAGATCAGCAGAATGGGCAGAGACCCGGGTGCTGGATTTTATCTTCTCAAAAATAAGGAATTGTGTGTTCCTTTATCTTAGCACTCTTGGGTGTTATCTGAAACCTTTCATAGCACCTGGGATAGGCTAATCCAATTAAGTCTGCTGTCTCTTCCCACATTCTCTCTTAAGACTGAGGCCAATGCAAACTTTTCTCCTCTTCCCCGGGCCACTGCTTTTGCTCAACGAAGAGCTTCGGGGAACTCAAAAGCTTGCTCATTGTTTTGTGCCCTTTGGATTGGTCCTAATAAAGGCCTTTCCCTGCTGTGGTTGTTGGATTTATTTATTTTTAATAGGCCATCACAGCTATTTTTTTTTTTTACTTTCTTTAGATGAGCAAAAAGTACGTAGGTCCGGATCTCTCCCAACCCACTTTACATTAGGCCGCCAAATTGAAGAAAGCTCAGGAAAAGCAGGGGTGGTATTTTGGGTGGAAGGATTGCAAGCTTGCATTCTAGTACCAAACACAAATTCCTCTCCTGAACAGGAACTTGGCAGTAGGCTCTTCTTTTAATTCCAAATGCTTGCCTGCTTCCCATCCCATGGTTTTGTACTTAGAATCAACTGGTAAACCTTAGGGTTCTAGTGAAAAGGGGAAAAAAGTTCCTACAATACACACACACACACACACCTCTCTTTGCAGTTAGTGACAGTACTTGGCTTGAGTTCGGTGGTTGCTTGCCTGGGCCAGTTACTGACTTAATGGTACTCAGGCCCCACTTCTTCGGGGGGGGGGCATCTTTAAAACCCGCTGCCCTTTCATCCAGGTTGTATCCAGAACCAGCTCTGCTTAGCTTCAGCGATGTGACTACTGCCTGTTCTCTAGACCCAGGCGTTGGCCCTCCAGATGTGCTCCCATTAGCTGCAGATAGCATGGCCAGTGGTTAAGGATCTAAGAGATGATTTTGAAGAATTTTTATTTAAAAAATTATTGTGTAACCAAAAAGTACATCCAGCGTCTCTACTTTCAATTCATAGAGTCAATTCATAGTCATTTTCACAGTTTGTTTACATTTGGTATGAGACAATGTTGTCATAGACATGCAGTTGGGGGGGGAAGAGGGGAGAGAGATGGGGGGGTTAATGATCTTTCAGTCTTTGCATAGTATTTGTGCAAGGTTTTTGTGTTACAGATGTCAGAGCTGTAAACCAACAGCATGTGGGGAGAGACCTTCTGACTGCCTTTAGGCTGTACAGATATGACATTGTAGATAGGCAATAAATGAAGGGAAAAAACAGCACAGCTGTTCCCTTGATCCAACCAGTGTACCAGGTCATGCATGTGGGGGTTACAGAGGCAAAATTCCATGTGTACTTGCATGTGTTGGAGGCAGATAGCTGCCTTGGGGCGTGCTTTCATTGCCTTTGAACTGCTAGCAATTTGGAAACTCCCAAGAAAAGACATTGAATTAAATCTCCTAATTTTAGTTTAGGTACTTCATCTGAAGAGAAGGAAGTAATTGCTTGGTTGTGAGTATTTAAAGGTTTTTCCCATTGCAGTGAATGCTCTCTAGGGTGATGCTGCATAACTTAAAACTAACCATGTATAGATCTAGCCAGTCCTTTAGACCAGAGGAGAGTACCGTATTTTTCGCTCTATAACACGCACCCGACCATAACACGCACGTAGTTTTTAGAGGAGGAAAATCCGTAGGCATTCCCTCCATAACACGCACAGACATTTCCCCTTACTTTCTAGGAGGAAAAAAGTGAGTGTTATGGTGCAAAAAATACGGTATTTAACATGGTGTGTGTGTGACTCAGTGACCCAGTATCAGTGTTACTGCCTGGATCTAGAGGACTGTATCTAGGGTTAGTCATTCTCCGAATTGACCCATTGAAATTAGTGGGCATGACTAACTTGTTCCCATCAGAGGAACTTTGATCCTGGAAGATCTCCAGTTGGAGAAAGGAGGGAAGGTAATCTTTAACCCATTTGACACACACACCCAACACCTGAAGCCTTCTTGGATCCCAAGAACCTACCCCAGAGTATCAGACTCTCCAGAACAGTGTAGTGACACAGAGAGTTGCAGGGGAAAGGAGGAATTATTTTAAGATGTCCTGAAAAGGCAAATGCTAGTCCGAAAACTACAATAAAATCTTCACCCCCTGCTTTCATTCTTTTTTTAAAAGATATTTATTAAGAGTTTACAAGTTACAGAAAAAGCAAGAGAACAATAAAGAATTAAACAAAACAAAACAATACCTTACAATACATCAAAAAAATAAAAAATAAAAAAATAAAACAATACAATAAAACAACAAAGAAAAAAACAGAACAAAAACATTTAAAAACACATCCAACCTTTCCATATCTTTACCTTTCATATACTTGTTTCATCGACCTCCTCACACCTCCCTTTTTTGTATTCTAGTTGAATTAGCTATTTCAGCAAGTCCTTTCCATCTTTCTCAATTTTCGTTCTAAAATTTAACTTAAGACGCTCTAACCTTAAATTTTCCACTTTGGTCCATTAACAATCTATTTTTGCTTAATTCTTTATCACATTTCTGCTAAAGCCATATAGCTTCATTCCAGCATCCTTCTAACATTCATTAATTTTGCAATATTTCTGTAAATATACTTTAAATTTTTTCCAATCTTCTTCCACCGACTCTTCTCCCTGGTCTCGGATTCTGCCAGTCATTTCCGCCAGTTCCATATAGTCCATCAGCTTCATCTGCCATTCTTCCCTGGTGGGTAAATCTTGTGTCTTCCAGTGCTTTGCAATAAGTATTCTTGCTGCTGTTGTGGCATACATGAAAAAAATTCTATCCTTCTTTGGCACCAATTGGCCTACCATGCCCAGGAGAAAGGCCTCTGGTTTCTTTACAAAGGTATATTTAAATACCTTTTTCATTTCATTATAGATCATATCCCAGAATGCCTTAATCTTTGGGCATGTCCACCAAAGGTGAAAGAATGTACCTTCAATTTCATTACATTTCCAACATTTATTATCGGGCAAATGGTAGATTTTTGCAAGCTTGACTGGTGTTATGTACCACCTGTAAATCATTTTCATTAAATTCTCTTTTAAGCCGCTGCTGCCACGCTGCCGCCCGATTTCTGTTCTCATCCTGAAGCAAAGTTCTTAACTCGAGGTACTATTTCTGGGTTAGCGGAGTCTGTAACCGGAAGCGTATGTAGCCTGAAGCGTATGTAACCCAAGGTACCACTGTACTTGGAAATCAAGGGTAGCAGAAAGTGACCGAAGGCTTAATACGCATGGCTTCCTCCAAGGAACCCTATGAATTGTAGCTTATCCTTCTCAGAGCTTCTGTTTCCAATGCTTTTAACAAACTACCATTTCCCAGGATTATTTGGCGGAAGCCATGTGCTTTCATTGTATTTTAAATGTGTGCTGTATACGCAGCCTAAGAGGACAGGGCCCTAACATGTAGATGAGGCAGTACCTGGAAGCAAACTTGACTTCTTCCTGGGCTGCTCTTCAGTCTGTTTCTAGAATCTGCAGGGACTGTCCCCCTGTTGTGTCACAAGCAAGCATGGTTACAAGTCATCTGCCCCACTTCTCTCCTCTCCCTTTTTTGCACGCTTGTCTACACTCCCTGGCACCCCCTCCCCAGTACACACTCCTTACAGCACCACATGGATATATAACACTTGCCTAGTCCACATGGACAATTTTTGGGGGAGGTACTTAGCTGTCATTGCAGAGGTTCTTCCCCCCCCCCCCCACAAAATCCTCTTGGTTCATCAAACCCTTAAATAATGATACGTTATAAGGAAAGAAGAAAATCAAAGATGGGATGAATTCACTGAAAATTGATTGCGCTTTATTGACCACTGTAAAAGTCATGCGATTTATTAAATATAAAAATATAGGGCTCGAGCCCCACGTTGGGCAAAAAGATTCCTGCTTTTCAGGGGGTTGGCCTAGATGACCCTCACAGTCCCTTTCAACTCTACAATTCTATGATCCTATAACAGTTAGAATCAATAATTTTAAAAGCTAAAAATTCAAGTGTTTTCAATGTTGTGGTAAGAATGGATGGACACTTCTGTTTTTGTATATTTTTGATGCTTGTGATTTTCTTATATAAAGGAGTTTTTTTAAAAAAAGAGAGAGGAGGTACATCAAAGCAAGTAAGCATGTTGAGGCTGAAATTATGATGATCAGGGGGGCTTGAAATAGTTGTTCTTGGCTCTTGTGCTCCCCTGGCCTGGCAGACTTTTCACTTACATTCACCACCTCTTTGAGGTTTGGGGGTACCTTGGGAAATACAGTGGTACCTCAGGTTACATACACTTCAGGTTACAGACTCCACTAACCCAGAAATAGTGCTTCAGGTTAAGAACTTTGCTTCAGGATGAGAACAGAAATTGTGCTCTGGCGGCGCGGCGGCAGCAGGAGGCCCCATTAGCTAAAGTGGTGCTTCAGGTTAATAACAGTTTCAGGTTAAGTACGGGCCTCTGGAACGAATTAAGTACTTAACCTGAGGTACCACTGTAGAATTCTACAATGCTGGTGGGCAACAAGAGGTACTCTTGCCAATAACTCTTGTTTTCCTTTAAAATGGGGACTGGGAATGTGTGGCCCTCCAAATCATGGCACTGGGGAATCCAACAGCATCTTGACAGCCTCCAAAAATAAATGCATAGTTCTGTCCACTTTCCTAGACTCTTGGACCATGGAGGCAGGTTTTCCAATGCAGCTGGGGAGGGTGTTAAAAGTAGGTGTGCAGTCCTGCAGTCACTCAGTTGGTAATCACTTCTGGTTTTCCCTCCTGGCTGCAGCAAGAGGATAGGGGTGTGTTTGAGGGGATTCAGGGGCAGCTTTATACAAGCAGTTGCTTGTAGCAATACAGTAATTATCCCACTGGCTTCCAGGTGTCTTCTGCTCTGACAAAACATATTCCTGAAGCCTGGTGCACGTCTTTCCTCACAATCTCTGTTTTAAAACACAGCCACAAGAAAACCTGTATTCTGTGACCTGTGTAACGAAGCCCATTTGATTATATTTATTTCGTACTGTTTTTGTAGCCCCAGGAAGGGAGGCATTGAGCTCTTCTTCCTCATCTCTGGAAGTTCGGCTCGGTGACAACCGCCCTCTCCCATTTCACCAGTTTCTGAACCACTGTCAGGCATTGTCTACAATTTCAAGCATACCTATTTAGCAACTTGCTTGAAATAAATATGAGGGTCCGAGTCCTAAATTCTGCACAAAATAACTGATTCTGTGTTATTGCCACGGTGTAACAACATGCATTTAAATCACATCTTTGTGTCTGCCAGAGTTTTGAAAATAACAAGCAGAATGCTTTAATTGCACTTAATCTGCATGCTGATGTACGTGTGACAATTTTAATGTGCAACACTGCAGCACTTTTTGCTAAAAGAGGCAGCCCAGTGCTGGCCTAGAGTATTTTGAATGAAATATACTTGTCATGAATAGTTAAAAAAACAAAAAACCCACCCACTTCCCCCCTCAAAGGCAGATAATTTAGAAGAAGTGGAAATGGTACAGACTGGGTTTATTAACTTGCTGAAAAGAAGAAAATAACCTGTGCAGTAAGGAATATATGACACCTTGTCTGCAGATGCATTTACCAATTTGTCTGTATTGAGGAGAATTGGGTGTTCCTCCTGGCTTGGCTTCAGTTAGTGCCTCTCTGCTGCTGTTTTCCACCAGCGAAAACGATGGTAGTAAAGCGGCGATCTTATGTATTGGGGTCGGTAATAAACTGGACAAGGGGTAAACTGAGATTTTGCCTACACAAGATGGAGGTGCTGCTAATGGTCTGATCCAAGGGTTGGAGTTTCATCTGAGGTTATACTCCTGCTTTTTGGACACCCAAATGGCACGAAGTTCTTTTCACCAGCTTTGGTTGTGGTTCTAACTGGGACCTCTTTATTATTATTCTTCTTTGGCGATCACTCGTAGCCGAGTAAGATTGTCTTCCATAAACACGGTTTTAAAAATGAGTCCATAAGGGACTGTGGAGGCCAATTCTGGATCCACACATGCTTTCTGGGTGGGAGTTGATCATGGTGTGGATTTGCCAAGCGTGCCTTCAACTTAGCATGTTTCTCCCTTGCATCCTGAGTTCGAGTGTCTTCAAAGTCCATGACACCTTTGGTAAAAGCTGTTCTCCAACTGGAGCGCTTGCAGTCCAGTGTTTCCCAATTGTCAGTGTTTATACTACATTTTTCTAGATTTGCCTTGAGACAGTCTTTAAACCTCTTTCATTGACCACCAGCAATACGCTTTCCATTTTTAAGTTCGGAAGAGAGTAGTTGCTTTGGGAGACGATAATCAGGCATCCGCACAACATGACCAGGCCATTTGGAGCACAGCTTGCCAGTTTCAAGAGCGTTATGTTGTGTGTCCTGAGGCTTTAGTCAACATGCTGCTGGTAACCTATAAGACATGAACCCACCCTGTATAGGGAAGGAATGTGGAGCCTGTGGCCCTCCAGAGGTTGAAGTGCTCAGGGATGAAGGGAGTTGTAGACCAGCAAGTTCTAGATGGCCATAGGATCCCTGCTCTTGCTTATGGTATCTCAAAGGCTGCCTATTCCTGTACAAACTCGCCCATTCCTTGAGGTCATCTGAGGAGTTCTTCCTTCAGATGACCTAACCAGCCAAGATTGGCTGGTTGGCGGTTGAGACTTTGGGTTCTTCTGCCTAGTGCTACCTTGACTCCAGAATTGTTTCCCCTGCAGCTCCGTATGCTTGGCACCTAACGGTTTGTGTTTTTGACTCTTGGCAAAAAAAAGTTTGTGTGTGTGTTTTACCCAGACCTTATTTCACTGTGAGCCACTATGGGGTGGAAAGGGCAAGGTGCAAATTTAACAAATATATTTAGCAGCAGTTTTGTTGTTGTTGTTTTATTCCTCTCCTCTACCTCTCATTGTTGGGTTATAGCTTTATTTCTATTTTTTTGTTATACCTTCATAAGCCTACCTAGGGCATGGTTTTATTGATAAACAGGGTACATATTTGTAGGCAAGAGGTAGTAGAGGTAACACGAGCAGCCTTGTCTGTTGGAGAATAGTTGGGCTACTAAAGTGAATGAGCAACGCAGAATTGAGTAAAGGCAAGCAAGTAGCTACATCAAAGTATTCTGTGTTTTCTGTAGTTCCTCCAGCACCCAGGATGATTGTCTATTTGCTTAGTTTATTCAGTTCTGAAAAACACAGCCAAGCTCCATTTGAATATATGTCAAGGCCAACTGCGTAATTGGATGTGGACAAAAGAAATTGGTGTGTGTGTGCGCGCGCGTTTGATTGTAAGGGTGGCTTGGGGATCTTCTCCTTCCTACTACTACAGCTTACTATAAAATATTTAAGGTTATCAAGTGCGCTGGATGTTTACGGAGCACTGGCGTAAGATGCTTGCTTGTGGCTTTGTACGTTTCTAGGCACTTTAGTTTTGTCTATTGTGAAGATGCCATGACTGCTTTGTGTGTGCTTTCTTTGTGCTGGGACAATATAAGATTTTTTCCCCTGGCTGTGTCAGTGCTGCAACATGTTCCTAAGTTTGCATCTTGATTGCTTTCTTTTGTTCTTGCTTCACCCTTTTCTTCTCCCCCTGCATTCATCTCCCCAATGTTGAACTGTACATTGTAATCTCCTTGGGGCAGGAACCTGCGGGTGTGTTGCTTGCTTTTCTCTGCTCTGTACTATGCACATTGTCAGTGCTATATAAACGACCAGCTGAAATCAGAGCCTTTTCGTAGCATTCTGTGTAACCATGTGCGTTATCGTAGCGCTTGTAGCATTGGCCACAGCCAGCGTGTAATAAAAGGTCCAGACTTCCTCCTAGAAGCCACCCCCGCCCACTGAGCATTATTTTAATACATCAGGATCATGCAGTTTTCATTTGTGGTTCAAAGTTCTTTGCACACACACACACACACACACACACACACACGTGCATGCTTCTGCATGCTCAGGTGAACAGCAAGGTGTTATGTGAGATGATATACATGGTGTCATAAGTTCTTTGCACTGTACCGGTCATGTGGCCGTATATGCTCTAGTCAATGCTTGCATGAACACTCATTCATAATGTGTAAATCAGCGCTATTTCTGCTACATTTGGTGTGCTGTAAATGGAGCTATTTCAGGGTTTATTTCAGAGCTATTGAAACCAGACTTGATGTCACTTTCCTTCTCCCAAGATCAGCCGAAAGTCTTTGGTCAGGTGGTGAGCATATGAAGGAACAAAAATGTGTTAGAATGCAAGTAGCCTAAACACTTCAAAAGACTTAATATGGTCAGTTTTACCTGTGATCTCTGCTGTTGCTGCTTTCAAATGGATGTTAATGTAGTTTATTTTGTCTCTCCTATTGTTTTATTTTTCTGTTTGACTATGTGCTAGTGTAATGCGATTTTACATTGTTGGGAACTGCCCTGAATGCTGCATGAGCAGCAACAGGGTAGGATAAACATTTTTATATTAAGGAACAAATGGAAACTAAAAAAATAAAATGATTGTCTTACACACACACATGCATGCATCCAACCTTCCTCCTTTTTTTCTTTGTCCAGCTGCAGCCTTGGCACCCCAGAAAAGCTCGGTTTCTAGGCTAATAGAAGCAAATATGGACAAATGCTCCATTTCCCAAATAAATGCCATTTTAAAGGTTGGTTTTTTTTATAAAAAAAATTGAGCTATCATTCTGTGTTGCAGGTATAGCAGGCTTTGATTGTTAACCATGCAGTGGAGCTGCAGTTACTTACTCTCCTTCAGGGCGACTCACAAATCACGTAGAAAATAGTAGCGCCTTGTGATGTCTGAGGGGCTGAAGCAGCTTCAGAGGTTCAGGGATTGTGGCCAGAGGCCATTGGAATGATAAATGGAAACTGGTTTAGGCTACGAGAAATAATTGAATTTAATATGTAGGTGTGCTGTTGAGATGTGTTGAGAGCAACACTGGAATTTTTATTGTTTTTACACAGCTATGTATATTCTGAGATTCCACAAAGCAAAAGGCCAGAACTTGGTGCATGACCGAGCACTGAGCACCCCATGGACCTACATAAAATCTTAAGTGGGGGGTGAGGGCAAAAGTAATAGCCAGAGGCGAGGCTTTGGGATCCTGCTTAGCTAGTTGTCCCTTCCCATGACTGGCAAAAGCAAAATAAATTGTTCAACACAGTAAACCTAGTTTGAAACTGGCATGTTTGTATAGGATCATCTCAAGACAAAATGGCATTGATAATACCTTCTGACAATTGCAGTTGTCCCAGGCAACTGGCTGTTTAATATGCTCTAACTTTGGTCTTGTGTTTAGCGGCAATGTCTTGTACTGCAAAGCAGATCTCTGTGATTCAGAGACTGCCAATACACCATACATTTAAAGCTCTGTTACAGCACTTTGAATAGCTTTGGCTTCCCCCAAAGAATCCTGGGAACCGTCATTTAAGGGGACCTGAGAGTTAGGAGACCTCTGCTACAATTCTCAGAGTGCTTAAACAACCAATCCTTCTTCCCAGGGAACTCTGGGAATTGTAGCTCAGTGGTGGCAATAGGGCTCTCTTCTCAGCACCCTTAAACTACAGTTCCCATAATTCTTTGGGGGAGGCTATGGCTGTTGCCGTGGTATAGTGGTGCTTTAAATGTATGCTGTGGATGCGGCCTGTGATATTTATGAATGTAGCTTGACAGAAGATACCGCTGTGCCTGTGTGTTTTCTCTGCATGGAAAGTTCTCATTTCTCCTACACAGCAGACAAATTTGCCTCTCAGGTACACTTGAGTAGTTGCTAGAGTGTTTGAAATGTAAATACATGTCTTTAAAGGTGCTTGATGGGCTTGTGTCACAAGGGGGTGGTTTGCCCCCACATGTTTATAGACGTGAATCTTCAAACATTACAGGAGTTCACGAGGAGGCACAAAGTGGACAAGTGACAAACTCACAGTCATGTGCCCAGCGCATGAATCGGCTCTTTCCTAAGACTTCCTTCTTGCAGCAGTCCAGCTGTGGCTGTTGGTGGGTTTCTGTTTAGCAACACTGTTGATTTGGCTGTCAGTGTATTGCTTATCACAAACCATTTTGCTTTATCCTGGAGGTGGGCGCCCTGTTTAACTGACGCCTTCATCCCTAAATAGACGATGACCCAGGCTGCTTACTTTGCCAATGGATGTGTTCAATGATGCCATTTGGGGTCACTTCACACCACTGCATTGACTTTGCCTTTAATAAAAGAGATCTGTGACAGCTTAACTGTTTTAATTATATTAACTTTGCACAGCTTGCTGAGGGCACAAATGGTGCCGTTTTCCCACACACATAGCAGCTGATAGCGTGATTCCGACTTGCAGCGAATCAGTTGGAATTAATGCTCCTGTTGTGGCACATGTGAATGCCTTCTCTGTTTTAAAAACATACTTGCACAACCATCCCACACTGAACTGTGGCCGTATGAAACATACAGTGGAGCTTCCAGTGCAAGGCTAATGATAGAGGGACAGGATGAGATCTTTGTGGTAGCCGAGATAGTATAGTTTTCTATAAATCAGCATACGAAGCTCAAAAAAGTCTGTTCCCCTCCTTATTAGGCTGCATTGAGTGTTAAGGTTGAATTGCTTGGGATTGCAAAAGAGTGTTTGCCCCACGTGGCGAGCTGGGCTTGTTTTATGCCAGGAAGGTCAAGGTTACCTTCTGTGCTTCCGCTTGCCAATCCTTAGTTTGCAAAGCTTCTGTTAGGATTTTGTTGTTGCTGCGTTTGTTTGTTTTTAATTTGACAGGCAGGAAGGTTGAGTCATGTATAAGGGAGCATTATGCAATGGTTTCCTCCCTGCTGAACCCTGTTTATAATTATATAGGTCCTGCTTTCTGCCTGTTCTGGGCTTGCTCCTGCCAGGCTGTGCTGCTTGATGGTGAGGTAACTCACCTGAAGCTAAGATAGGTTACACCGTCCCTCTGCTACATCCAATAGCAAATGCAACAAGAGGGAGAACGGATTTTCTGGGCTGTATGTTTGGGTGTTACTGTTCCGTTGAGTTACCTTCATTTACAAAGGGGTGTCTAGGCTGTGTGGTCCAGTGGTATTTCTATACCTTATTCTTTAAGGAGTAATGGCCTGTTGCTCCTTTAAAACTGGGGCATTGGTAAAGGAACCCTTCCCTGCTGCTGTTTCTTTCTCCTCCTCCCCACTCCTTTCTTTGGGCTGCTGCACACTTTTTCCCAGGCAGCTGTTTCATAACACACACCCATTTTTCTGTTAGTCATGTTCTCCTCTTCCTTTCTGAAGTTCGGCAGGCTTTTTTTCCTTTCTTTTTTTTGTGTGTTTTTTTTGTACACACCGAACACAGTGATCTAATTCTTCCTTCTGCGGGCTGGCCCTCACCATTTTAAGTTTTCCCCCCACCTTCAGCTGCAAAATGGGTGTTGACAGCAGGCATTTGGGGTGACGACTGGGGGGGGGGAGAGACCTGACAGGAGGTGTGTGTGTTTTAAGATGCTAAAATTAGAATGATTACACAAAATTGTGAGGACTTACCAGGAAGTGAGGAGAAGCTGGTGACAGAGATGCTTTTCTGCTGTACTCTTTTGTGTTGGACCTCTCCAGAGGTTTCTAGGATGTTGCAAGCTGCTAGCTAAATTAGTCTGTAGATGAGAAGGAAAAAGCAGCCTGGCTCTTGCTGATAGGGATACATCTACATTGCAAAGTCGAACCTGTTCCTTGGGTTTTTTTCACCCTGGTTGCAAAATCCACCCTTTTAACATCGAGTTACTATAATGGAGGTTCTATTCTGCCCTAGCTCCACCCACGTCAACTTCCTCAAGTTTGCTTGCCACAGGCAATTTGCCATTTATAAAGTAGACATAGTAGAACTGAGACTGAGGTGTAAAAAGAACTTTGTGCTTGGGCCTGTCCACATTTTTCATAGCCCACATAGCTTTGATTTGTTGCATGGATGGAACAATCTCTTTGCTGCTGCAAATCATTCAAAAAAGTAAAGGAAGCTACAATTTTCTGGCCACTTGCTTCTTCTGAAGATGCATATGTGTTCTTTAGATTTCATTTCTCTACAGTACTTGAATTTTGCAGGTCTCACAGTGCCCCGAGTTGTTTCTATGGTCAGCAGGCCTCTCCTGCCTTTTGAGTCTTTGGATTGAATCCAATAAAAAAAAAATGTATGTGTGGAACAACTTGCTCAAGCACAGTGGAACTGCTGCTCCTTGGGTAAAGGTAAAGGGACCCCTGACCATTAGGTCCAGTCGTGGCTGACTCTGGGGTTGCGGCACTCATCTCGCTTTATTGGCCAAGGGAGCCAGCGTACAGCTTCCGGGTCATGTGGCCAGCATGACTAAGCCACTTCTGGCAAACCAGAGCAGTGCACGGAAACGCCATTTACCTTCCTGCTGGAGCGGCGCCTATTTATCTACTTGCACTATGAGGTGCTTTCAAACTGCTAGGTTGGCAGGAGCAGGGACCGAGCAATGGGAGCTTACCCCGTCGCGGAGATTTGAACCGCTGACCTTCTGATCGGCAAGCCCTAGGCTCTGTGGTTTAACCCACAGCACCACCCGCGTCCCTTGGTACATCACCCCAAATCTGCTCTGGGGGAATCCCCTGAGCTGATTTGGCGGGGTGTTCACAAACGTTCTGTTATGGCCTTCGCAGAAATTGTTCCCCACGCACACTGATTTAGCTGGATGCAGCGCTTATGCATATGCTCATCTTTGAACTATATTGGATGGTTCTCCTAGAGACTACCTTTGTTTGTGAATGGCTGTTCTGTGTGTTTGCTCTGGGTTGCAAATTAACCCTGAACTTTCCATTTGTGTGCCTTTAAAAAAAAAACTATATAAAAATTGCCCATCATTCACTGTCAGCAAAGCATATTACTTGACACGACTGTGTATTTTATTGTTCCAACCCAAAACACAGGGAAGGGCTTTAGCTTCAACGCGGAGCGTGTGGTTTGCATGTAAAAGGTCTCGAGTCCAATCCCTATCATCTCAAGATGGGTTGGAAGACTCTTGTCTGCAACCCTAGAGAGCCACTGTCAGCATTGTAGACTAGTGCTCTAGATGTTTCTGAGCTACAACTCCCATAATCTCTGACCAAGCAGCTTGGGAGTTGTAGTTCAGCAATATCTAGGACAGTGTTTCTCAAGCTTGGGTCTCCAACTGTTGTTGGACTACAGCTCCCATCATCCCTAGTGAGCAAGACCAGGGGTCAGTGATAATGGGAGCTGTAGTCCAACAGCAGCTGGGGACTCAAGTTTGAGAAACAGAGGTCTAGGAACTGAGCCACATGGACCAATAGATTGACAGTGCCAGGCAGCTCCCTATTATTCCTAATCTTAAAAACTACTTATACGTTGAGTTAAAGAAAAAAACACCTCTTTCTCTCTGTGTATACATATGTAGTCCCTTGTTATATTATAAGAGGTGTTGTCAATTTTAAGTTATTTTTCACACCTATTTTTCTCCTTTTGAAAGATCCATTGGATTTTAGGTTGGTATTGGATTTCACCAAGTTGTGTTATGTGACCCTAGCATGGATGTCCCTGCAGGTGTGTGTGGGGGGGGAATTGGAGGTCTCTTGTAACCCGAGCAAGAAGCCCCCTCCTTGCTAGTTTTGTAACTTCTCTGTTTGTTGTGGTAACGCTGCTGATCACTGTGAGGCTGCTAACATGGGGCCCTGCCTTTTAGAGAGGGCAGCCATGTTCACGGTGTCTAAATAGACTAAAACTGATGTGGGGTTTCTTTCTTTCTCTCTCTCTTCCCCCACCCCTTTGGTCTATTCTGGGATTGTTTAATCTGGCACGCGCTCCTTGGAGGGAAATGTTCATTTCTCCTCAGGACAATGGTGTTCACTGGCAATGTTTTTGCCATATATGTTGTGGACTATAGTTCTTTTGATTCGGCTTGTTTGTAACACAGGAAACTTGCCCTCTAGTAAACATGACCCCCAGAACACACCTTCCAATAAAGCAAGGCTCTGGTAGTTTCTGTGTGTGTGTGTTTTTACAGTGAGTTATTGGACTCACATGACGCCTTTTCTGTTGGCGTTGGAGAAACAAAGCAAAGCAACATGCCACAACGATGCTTCGTGCCAAAAATGTTCTGGATCTCCTCAGAATTAATGCAGAGATGGGTTTTGTTTAAAAAATAAAAAAGAATTAAAAATGAACAAGTGAGGAGACTGCAGGATTAAAGGGGCTAGGGAACCTCCACTCCCAGGCGAGGGCCATATTCTGAGGGCCACATTCCCTCAGAAGTAGTTTGCTCAGGGCCAGAGGCCAAAAGTGGGTGGGGTCTAGCTAGTATTTTGCACTGGCTTCAGAGCTGGACCAAATTTTTCCTTCAGGCTTGATTTTGACATTGCATTGTTAGACCATTTTGACTCCAATCGGGTGGGTTTTCTCCCCTCAGAATCCAGAATATTTTAAAGGATTGAAATGGCGGAAAGAAACAGGCCTCAAAAGGATGAAGTAGGTGTGGGGAGCAGGTAGGGGCAAGGAAGGCCCCTTGACTGCAGCAAGCCCCTGCTGTTTGAACCTTTAGCACATGATGCTTGCAGATGTTTTCCTTCTACGAATGAGGACTAGAAACTTGCTTTTTAAAAACACGCACAATATCACAAAATAGCCCTATAGGCCAGTGATTATACAGTGTGAGGCATCTTCACAACATTGTCTAAAGTGGGCATGGATGATAACTGTAGAGGCCAACTGCATCTTGGCTTTATGTATTTTACCTCATTGCCTGAGGTGGGATTACTGGCTAACTTTTTGATACATTAAGCTACATAAACTCAGTTTCGCTGCCCTGGATTATATTATATTTACTATAAACATTGCCTAAGAAAATTGCAGCATATGTAGCTTTGGCCAGGACTTCCCATCACTCCACCTGGCCAGACGAGGGCATAGGTGGCAAATATCCAAACCTTTCAGATAGCTCCCCTTTTCTGGGCTCAGAGCCTAGCACCCCAAGCCCCACAGATAAGGGTAACATCAAAGCAAGCCAATTCACATATATCAAAGCTCATTGCTACAACTACTACCAGTTAGTTGTGGGGTTAATCTTGACTACCAAGATGGCGTTAGCAAAGCTCCCAGAACAAGTTCACCTTTGGTTCAACACAGGTGGGAGAGAGGGAAAACCAGAGTTGAAAATGGGTGGCAGGCTAGAATCGTAAATAGGAGCCGCTCGACACTTCAAAACTTTGTGGCAGGTTTCACTTAGCAACTTTTGAATAATGATTCTTTTTTCTCATTTGAGAGTAATTCTAGAGTAAGGCCATCAAAGGAAAAGCTGTGTTTGATGTTATGTAGGCTGCAAATAGAAACTAGTTGTGTTCATCTGTCTATGGCATATTTCTAGTGTGGTTCTAATCTTCCAGTCCAGGAGTTGGATGAAGACTGGTAACTGTGTACTTTTCTATGGTGCATTTTTTTTGGTCATGTATGTGTGAACCTATACACTGTTCGAAGTACAGTGGTACCACGAGATCCGTTCCGGAGCCCCGTTCACATCCTGAAGCAAACGCAACCTGCGTCTGCGCGGGTCGCGTTTCGCTGCGCATGCGTGTGAAGTAATTTTGACTGTCTGCGCATGCGCACACGGCGAAACCCGGAAGTAACGCACTCCATTACTTCCGGGTCTCTGTGGAGCGCAACCCGAAAATACTTAACTTGAAGCACATTTATCCCGAGGTATGACTGTACTTTTTGAGCAAGTGGTTTATAAATTTTCTAAGTAAAGAAGCAAAATATATCAGGGTAACGAGAGCTGGTGTGGCACAGTGGTTAGGCTGTTGGACTGGGACTGGGGACATGCAGGTTCAAATCCTCACTTGGCCATTAAGTGCACTGGTGACCTTTGGCCAGTCTTCATCTCTCTGTCTAACCTACCTCACAGGGTTGTTGTGAAAATAAAGGGTGGGGTGGAACAACGTATGCTGCCCGTTGAGCTCTTTGGAGGAAAGGGGGAGGTACATCTGTAGTAAAGAAATTACAATACCATTGCTTCTGATGTTTTAAATATACGAGATGCAAGTGAGCACCATAAATCAGTGGGTTTTATTTCCAACAACTTGTGCCTAAGTTGCCTCTGGGAAGGGTTGCTTGACTTGAGTTTCCTACAGAGAGATCACTTCCTTGAAGGTAAAACAGTAAGTAGGCTGTTGTGTGTCTTCTCTGGTCACGTTTCCATACAGTGGAAATCTTAATCCTCATCACTTGGATGCGAGGTGAAATAGGCACATGTCTGATGACGTTCATGGGTTTTTCCCTACACGCAAGCAGTTGTGTAAAAAAGTAAATTTGAATAAATTCTGTAGGTTGAGACACTCTTACTTGGCAGCCAAATCCCATTGTTTCAACTAGTTCCTCACAATGTATTTGGCATCAGGGTGTTAGGGCTGGCTGACATCTTGATGGGTTGAGAAATGCTGTCAGCCTGGCTTATTTACATACATGATTTGGGCACCTCACTGTGCAGATGGGTGATGCAAGGCATATGTTAATATAGGCAATCTTCCAGGCTCCTTTTTATGAGGGGGAGGTTTGGGAGATCAACCCTACGCTGTGGCACACAAGGGAGAGGAACATGAACATACCTGCAGCCTATGCCTCACTGGATATACATGGTTACTAGATGTCTAGCAAACCTTTTAAACTTCTCTTATTTTAAGAGTAAAGTTACTGTAGTGCGCTAGCTAAATTGCTGCTGTTCTCACTCAACCCTTCAGATGCACCTTCACACAGTTGACTGCACAAAAGGAAACTTGTTTTTATTAACCTGGTATCTGAGCTAGCCACGGTACCTTTTTTTTTTTAAGCCTAGACAAATTGATTAGCTTTTGGTGTTTTATCTTCATTCTTCTTTCCTTTTTTAAAAAGAGCACCTTGAGATAGATACAAAACAGAGTCTTAGAACTGGGGAAATGGAAGGCAGGAGAGTCTGCGTACACATAATAAAAAGGAGCTCAGTCGTCAAAACAAACGTGCCAGTAGGTTGAGCGGACGGGTGGTGTGTTCCAATTCCACCCCAAGGGAAAGTTGTATGCAAACGTGGAGAGTACTTCAGGGCTTTACATGTAGGTGTGTAGGATGGATGGAGTGCTTGGTGCTTGAGGTAGCTGCACCTCTTTTCAGACGACTTTGAATGTAGCTTTTAGAGGGACCTGACAAAAAGGAATATACTTATTTGCAGGGCGGGGCCCAGACTGTGCTAGAATGAACAAATTTTTCTCTAAGCAATTTGAAACTACCCAATTAGGATTACCTGAAGAACGAGGAACCACCCCTCCCCAAATCCCTCTCTTAAAGCTATCCAGGATCAAATACCTAATATCTGAGATGGGGGCATTTTGGATGAAAATTCCTGATGTATGGGAAGCAGGGACGGGAAATATTCATCACGTGCTCTCATTTGAAAATGTCTGAGCTAGAAAAAAGCATAGCACCCTCAGCTTCTGTTTTCTGTTTTCAAGCATTAACACAGATGGAAACTTGGAATTCCGTAACATGGGGATATTACCTAGTCTACCTGTTAATGTGCTCAACTCTTTCATTTGCATATACAAATTTTGCAGTGTGTGTGTATGTATTGTAGGGTAATTAGCTGGGGAATGGTCAGGTATTAATGCAAATTAGATCTAATTTACTTATGTATAACATTTGGAAAGACAGGAAGATCCCTACTAATTATATTGAGGTGACGAAATTGCAACTCTAGTTTTGCCCCCCCCCCCCCCAGCAATTTTTTTCTGCCCACCCCTCAAAGTCCCTATTGATTTTGGCTCTGGCAAAATTAAAAGAAAGTAGAGACAGTGCTGGGACGCAGAGCCCAGCTCCCCAACTGGAATGCAAATCACCCCTTCCCCAGTCATCTGATCAGGCCTTTGACATGCAGAGAGATGATGATAACCCCTTTCCCCCAGCTGATCTGCATAGATCAGCTTGGGAGGGAAGGCTGGACATGATAGTCTGTTTTATGGGCATGTGTGGCACATGTGGGGAAGATGCTCAGTGGCAGACCATCTGCTTTGCTTGTGAAAGGTTTGGCTCCTGGCACCTACAGGTGGTCTGTGAGAGACTGCCAGTCGCTGCCTATCAGTACAGACAGCACTGAGATAGATGGCCTGACTCTGTATACCCACCTTTCTATGTCCCCATGTGAACTGGCCACACTCACCACTGTCATGCAGCTCCCAGAAGGTTGGCCAAGGGTGAACACGACCCTCTGGCCAGAAAAAGCTTAGCCACCCCTGCTTTATATGCCGAGCCATGTGTGAGGAAAAGGTCAGTTAAAGTGTAACTAGTTTCTTTTGTGCGTGCGTTTTCGTTTTCTTGGGTGCCTTTCTGTGGATGGGCTTCCCAAACGCAGTCCCTTGCCCCCATTTAAGTGGAGTGCCAGACCAGGCCAGCATGGATTGTTGGAGCACTCCAGCACGTCATGAGTAGAAAGTAGGGTGGACCCATAGGAAAGTTGAATGGCTGCAGAAGATTGAAGCTGGCACAGCTGCTCACTTAAACTGGAACTTGCGTACCTGGCCGTGTTTGATCTGATAAAAGAGGTCATCTTGCAGATGAGGGAACCGCTTTAGAGATCAGTTGATTTACATGGTGACGGAGCCAGACAAAAGGTATAGACAGACAACTTGCTTGGGGCGATTAATATGCATTGTTTCATCATAGATGGCACGTTCTGCAAATTGGCCTCTATTGGTGCAGCTAATTTCTGCCGGGTTCTCAATTCTCAAGCTGTCATGCTTCCTTCTCAGGCTTTAGGAGGGAGAAGATGTTTAATAAGGAAGTGTGCTTATTGTTAGGGGGTGGTTTGTGAGATGCTGCTGAGATAAAGGGCCAACCCTGAGTCTTAGAGTTCCCCAGAAGATTGAGGTTGGCGCTTGATAAATGATGCAAGTCAAACATCACATGTCAAGACTCCGAAAAGGCAGTTGTCGGGGATGAGGCAACATTGCCCATTGGCAGTGGGGCCTCCCGTGAACCAAAAAGGTTCCCCGTTCTGAAATGTGCTGGAATTATGCAAAACACACTCAGTTCTGTTTGTTCACCTGCTTCATTTTGATGGCATAACACAGAAAGCTTTTTGTACATTTTGGGATTGCGCAATCCATCTCTGTCTTTGTGTAAGCAAAATGAAACATAACTTTGCAAGCTACATGACAAACAGGCATCAGTTACACACCCTGCCTTTCTTTGGTCAGTGTGTACCAGTGTTTGGAAGCTTTTAGATTTTGCATCCATTTCTCTGAATTGTAGGACCAGCCATTTTCCTGGCATGTAGATCATGCATCCTGGATCATACATGGTCTGGGCCTTTAAACCCTCCTGCTTCAGTTTTATATTGTCACCAAAGACCAAAAAGGGGGTTATGTGTGTTTTCCAATTACTAGCCCACAGATTGGTGCCAGCCCAAAGTCTGCTTCCTGCAGGTTTGTGCAAAGGGAAATCACTTAGTTTCCTACTATTATTGTGTGGGAAGGTTTTAATACCTTGATCAGCAATTAGATATTGTTGTGGGAGATTCTGTAGCGAACATTTTTAGGCCACACATACACACAGATCTCTCTGCCCCCCATCTTTGGAGGGAAGGGCAGAAAAAGTTGCTTGGGGGCTAGATAAACTTGGAGGGTGGTGTAGACCAGTGTCCTTCAACTTTGGGTCCCTAGTTGTTGGAGCTACAACTCCCATCACCCCAAGCCAGCTATCCAGTGGTGAGGGAAGATGGGTAGTTGAACAACATCTGAAGAGCACTGGTGTAGACCTTAGTTGTTATCCTTCTGTGAAGCAGCTTGTAAACCAGTGTTTCATCCTCTCTCTCTCTCCCCCTAATCACTTTACCCCTTTCCTCCCCCTGCCTAAAGCAGGGCATCCTCTGGAGTCAGATTTGGCCAGAATCTTGACAACAGTTCCTGTCATTGGTTTCCTTCAGCAACATTTTGTAACTACTGTCAGCCAAAGGTTGTCCACTTCTGGGTAGGAGGAGCTCACCAAGCAGCAATCTGCCCCTTCTGCCCCATCCTCCTTCAATAATTTTGATTGACTGAGGGAGAAGCTTGCCGGCAGGTTTGGGTGTAGGGCAATGTAGCATTGAGTGGGACCCAGGCCAGTCTACAGGTTGAATAGTCAAGGTCACCGAATCTGTTTAACCAGCTGTAAACCCTTTCTTAAAAATCAGTTGGTTTTATGTATACATTTTGTTGTATTCTATTCATTCTTCCATGAGCTCAAAATAGTTTACACCAAGCTCCTATTGATCCTCTGCACATCCAGTTGATTAATCCATGTGGAAAATGGAGTTCCCCTTCCTCTCAGACCTTCCATTTGGTGCATTCAGTCAGGCTGGTGGAAATGCCGATTCAGCCATTGGTTTTAGCTGTGAATATGGGACCCTGCTCTGCCAATATTTAGCAGAGCGGGGTAGTTAATTTTTAAGGAGGGAGCTCAAGGGAGTGGCACATGCTTTGGAAACGACCTAAACTCTTTTATCTATTTTCCCAGACTCTACATTGTATTGCATAGTTGGGGGAAGGAGAGGAAGCCATGTGTTCTTGTTGGGGCTGGTTCCTTGTGTTGCACGTGGGAGCTGGATATTCTTCTATTTTTTTATTTTATTTTTTTTTAAAGTAGACTTGGCAAGTCATTAGGTGAATCCAGGCAAAGGGAGCCACAATTATAACCCTGTTTCTCTCTTTCTCTGCCCTCCAGATGTGCACACCCAGCAATACTCCAGCCACGCCTCCCAACTTCCCAGACGCCCTTGCCATGTTTTCCAAGCTGCGGACTTCAGAGAACCTTCAGAGCAGCAACAGCCCTATCACATCCATGGCTTGCTCTCCTCCGGGTAGCTTCAGCCCCTACTGGGCTTCTTCGCCTCCAAACCACCAACCTGCCTGGATCCCTCCTTCGTCGCCCACCAGTCACAACCTCCACCACCACCTCCACCACCAGCAGCCCATGTGGCCTCCTGTGTCTCAGCAAGGGCCCCCCCAGCAGAAAGCCATGGCGGCAATGGATGGCCAGAGATAAGACTTAATGTTTTTGGAATGGGGGGAAAGAAGTTGATAGGGTGGCGGGGGCGGTAAAGAGGGTGTGGCAAATCCAAGGGGGCACAGGGAAATGGGGTGGGGGTATTTTTTCCCCCCCGAAGATCGCACTGGAATATTTTATAGTGGTTTTTTTTTTAAAAGAAAAAAAAAACTGATGAGATGTCGTCATCAGCCCAAACCCCGATGTTCCTTTCCCCCGTGCCCACCTTCCTTCTCTTCCCTTATCCACTCTTCAGGAGAGTTAATAACTGATCTTTTTCTCTTTTTTAAAAGAAAAAAAATTATATAACTATAATATATAAATATATAAATATATCTAATGTATATACATCACGAATGAAAGCAACGGAATTGCAAAGATCCAGGTAGCATTCTGCGAAAGCTGCCTGGAAAAAGAAGGGTGGCTGTGTTGGATCCGGGGGGGTCGGGGGGGTTCAAGGTGTCTCCCTGTGTGCGCACGTGTATGTATGTGATTGGGGGTGGCCGGGAGAGCTCGGAAAGTTGCCTCTCCTTTCCATCCTTTCCCAATTTTGTTGCCCTCCTCTTGATTTTCCTTTGGCTCTTGGTTGTCAGGAGTTGCCTGTAGCAGCTGAGACGGTTGAGGGGCCTTGAGGGAAGAAACCCTCCTTGCTTAAAGGGAAAGCACAGGCCTCAGATTCTGTGGCTGTCTGTGTGCCCGTGCGGTTCAGAGAGCCTCCTAGGCTGGGTGGGGTGTCACCTGCTAAAGGAATTGAGCTTCTACTACCCCCTGCCCCATGTTGTGACTGAGCGTGAGGGGTTGGGGAAGTAATTTTCCACTGTGGGCTCCGCTCCGCAGGGCTCTCCTGTAGGCCACAGAAGGAGCCTGAAAAGAAAAGAAAAAAAATGGAATAGTGCAAAATGTCATGTTATCGGGGCTGTAAATCTTTGAGACCACGTTGAGTCCTGCTCAAGATTTTGTACATTCAAGGAGGCAAATCTTGTCCTTTTTTGACAGGTGCCGAGACATGTACAGTCTGGCAAAACCAGCCAGCTCTTCTAGCCTATACATGGGCTGGCAAATTTATGGGCGAGAGTGGGGTTTCGTGGGCTTGCGTCCGTGCTGTCATTTGGGTTTAAACCCTTCTCCATTGCCCCAACTTTGGCCTATTGAAACCCTTTTTCTTCAACGGCTGCAGCAGGTGTGCTCCAAGTAGCAGAAACTAGAAATGGGTTGGGGGTTTTGTTTTTTGGTACCTTACCACAGACTCTTTATTGCTCTCCCACCCCCACCTGTCCCCTTCTTGTTTTTTGGGGGAATGGTTTTCCCCTTCAGCTCTCAAGCTGGTTCCCTTTTTAAAAGGACAAAGTTTAAGCATTTGGGAGGATAAGCTGGAAGGGAAGTTGCTGAAGTTTTCAAAGGTATAAAAACACAAACGTCAACCTCCCCAGAAGATGGATTATTCGAAGGAGGACTCAAGAGAGTGCTCCCTGACATCCGGCAGCAAGGGAGATGCTGAGGCTCTTTTTGTTTTTTGTTTTTTAGGTTTTAAAATCAGAATCTTGCTTAAACAGGTTGAAGGTTTTATATTAATTTAAAAATAAAAAAAATCACTTTTTTAACCAGAGTGGCACTTGTCTCTTTGTCCCCCACCCTGTTGCCTTACACTTCTTCTTCTTTAATTCAAAGAAATCTGCTGGGTATGAATGATAGACGTTAGAACTGAACGGAAACCAAAAACCAATGCTTCCTCTTTACATACGCGACATTGCAAAGGCACACAGCTTGCTCTCCTCTTCCTCCCCCTCCCTTTATCTAGAAACCTACTCCGCTCTTCCCTGCTGTCCCTGTTGCACGTCACTCATTGGCTTATGTGAAAAGCAAAACGAAACTAGGTCGTCGGTGTTAATATTAGCATTCATTTGGAATTGCTTCGTAATGCAGGTTTAAAAAAAAAAAAAAAAAGCGCACATATACACTTCAGTGCCAGATGAGGAGAGAAACATGGGAAGGAGAGTGCTAGCTGTACTCCCATTCCGATGTCTCTCTCCAGAGGTTGGAGGGTGTCTTTGTGAATCGGGGAGCCAGCTTCTACACATGTATACTCTCCCCCATGCATGTAGACCCCTGGAAAACCAGGATTTACATCACATGGGAAACATACCTGTTTAGGAGCAGGACCTCCCTTTCAGGCTGCTGCCCTCTAATTTGCAGGGGGAGATGATGGGGCAGGGGGCAGACTTAGGTTGCATTCGCATGGTGGGTGTATTGGGTTCATTTATTATAAGGCTAGTGCTTCTGCCCGGTTTTCCTACCTTTCCTTTCATGCTGCGTAAGCCTGTTCCACCACATCTCTACCTCTGCACCAGCACGGTGCGGGAAATGGCATTCGCACGGATATCAAAATGCCGTCCCTTGACATTGTGCCATTCTGTGCTGAATTTCCGGCACGTTTTCTAACCAGGCAAAAAAAGGAGGGCATGAGCCTCAAAATGCAGTGCAGTGCATGCTGGTATGCTGCCTCTCGGCTCGTCATGTGAGCAGCTGCGGCGTGAAAACGGGGGAATGCCACACTAAAGGTCCCGTGATTTTCCAGGTTGAGAGGGCTGCAAACAGTTTTTGCTGGAGTCAAATAACATGAAAATGAGTGCTAAACTTCCACAATATTCCATTCCATTCATTTTCCCGAAGTAGCTTTTGCATTGTGCAAAAGCTCAAATATAAAGTGCAAAATAACATTTAGGGAGATGTCAGGAAAACGGAATAAACAGCAGCCTTTGCAGACTTGTTCCCACACCACCTCCTCACATTAGTTCCACGTCTTCCCTAGACCCCTGAAGAAGAGTGCTTGTGTGTTCTCATCTTAATTGCCTTGTAGTGAACACTTGGCTGCTTTGACTTCTGTGTGGAGCCGCTATATCAAGCTGCATTCAAGTTCATCTCTGCTGTCAGCATTATTGCTTTGGAAGAAGTGGATTTTTTAAAAATAGAAGTTTTTGAGTAGGCTCTGACCAGAACAAAAACACATTGAAGTGGGTGTTGAGGCATCTTTTCCCATTGTGTGTGAGTGTGCATGCAAACAGACACACACACACACACACACACACACACACACACTGTTGTGTCACTAAAAGCTGGGGTTACACACTTCCTAAGCCATCCTTCCCCTCACTACATGGAGAAGTGAACAGAGGGGCCACACACTGATTTGAATGCAGGATCTGGATGCTGAACACATTTCCTACCAGGATCAGGGCCAGGCCAACATCCAGAAAAACACAAGATCCCTCAGTTCCAGTTTCATGCAAGCGGTGTGAAACTCTCTGTCTTTTGGGCACACAGTGGTAGGTATCTACATGTATATAAAGGTGTGGATTTAAGTTCAAATTGTGGTGAATGTTTGAATGTACATTTGTTTGTTCTTACTATGGGGGTGTCTTCAGCAGCTCAATATATAATGGAAGGTGGGTGGGAAATTATGGGCAAGGAAAGTAGAATTTAACATCACCTGAGGGATAATTATTATATATGAGTCAGGGGTTCACCTCTGCATTGTGGAATCTTGTCACTGCCGTTATTGCTTTCAGTTGGGATAATGTAACCCAAAAGAGCAGTGCTATGCATATTTCCGAAGAGAGATGGAAAGCCTGCTGTCATAAAAAAGAAGTCCGGGAGATCTTGTTTGCAATGAGAAGAACTTGGTGAAGGAGATCCATTTTGCTTCTCAGTCCCGTCTTTTCTTCTACAGCCCAGACTAAAGTCTGCTGTAAGCCCTTCACACTATTGGCCTTGTTAATAAGTGTATCTTTATAAGTGTGAATTTTAACACTTGCTCAAATCTCTCTCCCCCCCCCTTGTCAACTTGGTGTAAGAACAAAAGTGGGGCTGTCATCAACACTTCATTGCTAAAGACTTTCCTGCAGGCAATTGTGTGCTACTGCCACTGTTCTTCTGTAGGCCAGCCTTGCGCTATTGGACCACATTGGTGTTGGTGAATTCGGTTTAGGCCTTCTTGTATGACTGCCTTCTGTTCAGCCAAATGTCTCTCATTCTAGTGATCTACCAATGGACCATTTTTAGAAACCTTCCTTGTATTCAACACAGCACCACCTGTGGCCCCCACGTACCTATCAGGTATATTAGCAGCCGGTGAGCTCACTCCAAACCAGTAGTCTTCAACTTTTTCTGACCCAGAAGCCCCACCTTCAGCCCAAATATACATTGGTGGGCAGGACCTGCTTTGCATATATTTGTATAGAGTGGTAGTACTGTGTTTGCAACCAACCACTGAAGGCTCTATGCTCCCATGTTTACACATTTGAGGGACAAAGCCTATAGGCTGAGTTGAGTCAACCATCCTTAGCAAGACTGGAGACTGTTGGTTCTATCTTTTCATCTCGGTATTAGGTAAACAAAAATACTCTTTAGTGAGTAGAATACACCATTCTGTTACAGTCAGCTGAGCTTTGTTTCTAATAGCATGAGGGCATGGCAGAAGCAGCCTAGAATTCCCCCACCCCACCCCATGTAGACCAGGGATGGGGAACCTGCGGCCCTCCAAATCTTGTTGGCCTCCAACTCCCATCAGCTCCATCCAGTATAGTCAGTGTGCTGGATGGTGGAAGTTGGAGGCTGGCAACATCTGCAGTGCCACAGGTTTCCCATCCCTGGTTTACACACACACACACACACACACACACACACACACACACAGTGAATTGACTATCAAAACATAACAGTGTACATGAAAGAAAGCAAAATTCTGGGTAGAAGACTCCTGAATTATACATACCTTTAAGAGGCTATAGGCTTAACATCTTTGCTTGACTCTTAAGTCCTATTCAGGCTTTTGTTGGGGGTTGAGCATGCAACCACTGTCCTTACTTTTTCAGGTTTCTGCATGTTGCTGTCCTCTCCAATTTGTAGCAGGTGATGAGATTCAGGGGGTAGAGGTAGTGCACTTGGTCCCACACTGTCCCGTCCCCCCCAGCTCACCCATGTGCTGCTTTATCCCACTTCCTAAATGCCTCTGGATTGCTTCTCTGTTTAAAAAACTGCTAGAGGTGCCACTTCCCATGTCCTTGTTGCCATGGAGAATTACAATCTCCCTCTCTGGTTTTAGCCCTTATGTGGAATTGGCTCTTGATGCTCTTGAATACCTTCTCCAAGAACCCCTCTTTGAGAAATTAGATTCTTACTTTTTCACATGCAGCGTAGCTAAGCTACAATTCTTTTGGCTCCTTGCGTCCACAAGCACCAAGCTGGTGTTATTTTGGGCTTCTTTGAAGTACACTAGATGGCCCGGATTCTAAAGAACTTGCTTTGTGTGTGTTTTCAAAACTCCTAGGTCCGCCTCAAATTTAACGTGGCTAAGTAAGGCCTGATGCAGGTGGCGTAAAGAGACGCGGGTGGCGCTGTCGGTTAAACCCCAGAGCCTAGGACTTGCTGATCAGAAGGTTGGCAGTTCGAATCCCCGCGACAGGGTGAGCTCCTGTTGATCGGTCCCTGCTCCTGCCCACCTAGCAGTTCAAAAGCACGTCAAAGTGCAAGTAGATAAATAGGTACCGCTCCAGTGGGAAGGTAAACGGCTTTTCCATGCGCTGCTCTGGTTCTCCAGAAGCGGCTTAGTCATGCTGGCCACATGACCCAGAAGCTGTACGCTGGCTCCCTCGGCCAATAAAGCGAGATGAGCGCTGCAACCCCAGAGTCGGCCACAACTGGACCTAATGGTCAAGTAAGGCCTGAACTTAATGCTGATGGCATTGCATTTTCCACAAGCAATGAAAATTGTGGGAGTAGGTGCAGAGACCTGCAACTCATCATTCTCAGGGTTTGTTCATACAATTTCTTACATTCTGCCTTCCACCGGGGCACATCACAGCAATGAAATCTACAACTGAAAAAACAAAACACATCGCACAATCTCTCCATTGCAAATGAAACATAACAGTGTAAATTCAGCAAAAGACGTGGACCCCACAAAACAAAATATTGTAACTGCCAAAGTTGGGGCAGGGGCAGAGGAGAGGTGTGTCTTCAACATATGGGGAAACCTATACAATGCAAGACACACCTATGTGATCAGGGCTTTTTACACACAAATGTGTTAAAACACCTTGAGCTGGGCCCAGAAATGAACTGTCAGCCAGCACAACTGTTTGAAAAAGGGGTTACATAAATTCTAAAGAGATCCCCAGCCAGTAATCTGGCTGCTGCATTTGGAACCAGTTGGAAGTATCTGAGGGATATATCTCTCTGGCTTTCTACTATTGCCTGTGATGAGTTCCCACCAACAACGAGCTTGAAATGGGAGGCAGGGGGAGCTGAAAGTTACACAGCCTGGCTGGCTTCTGAAAATGTCTTTGCAGCATCTGCTGTCTGTGTGCTTCAAGTGATTTGAGCTTTGGCAGAGAGAAATTTGGTATATAACACAGGAGGATTTTTTCCTCTGTGTTTTTCCCTCTGGAAAGATCGGTTTTCACCACTACTGTTGTTTTTAAAAATGCATGTTCAAAGTCTGGCTTGCAGCGAAGCTGCTGTGTGTGCCACATGCCTAGCATGGCATATAAAATCTGGAATCTGGCTTTAGGCTACAGGGGAAACCATAGCTTCCTTTCTCTTATCTCA